TGCCACAACACTGTATGCTGTCCATGTACAGATTGTTCTCCTGATTCTACTCACTTAACTTTGCATTAGTTCAGACAAGTCTTCTCAGGTTTCTCTGAAACCTCCTGTTTCTAGTCCCTCAGGACAAAAAGAACTGTTATACATATATTTGTACATGTGGATCCTTTTCTTTAATCTCCTCGGGGTATACACCTGGTAAATGGTATCACTAGGTCAAAGGGTATGTACAGTCTAGTAACTTTTTTGTGCATAGTTATAAATTGTTTTCTAGAATTGTTGAGGTTTAAGGGTTTAGGGTGTGGGGACCCCAAAATCATGTGTGTCCTGCCTGAGTGAATTCAACCCAATCCTTCTTTCAGTCAAAGAGAAGATTTATTAAAGATCCGTCATATTGGCCAGACTCTTAAGGAATCTGAACATTCGTGAGATATTGGCTAGATTTTAAGAATCTGAGTCCTTGGCTAGACTCTTAATGAATCTGAGCCCCTTAATGGAGGCAAGATGGACCTTACATACAGAAAGACTGTGGGGGGATCTAGGAGTAGCCAAATAGTTTGGGGTGACTGTGAGGAGGGGTCTAGGGAGGATCTTGATGGGGGTGGACAGTAAGCTGGGGTGACTGAATGAGGGGTTTAGGGAGGATCTTGATGGGAGTGACTGGGAGGTAAAATGGGTTCCAGATAGGATCAAGAGTGGAAAGTGGCTGGGGGCCATCTGGAGATAATAGACAATGGAGGACTGGACTAGGTTAAGGGTAACAGAGAATTGGGAGATTGGGTGTAGGCATAGTGAAAGGCCAGTTGATAAGATTATAGCCTCAGGCAAATGATAGGGACTTCCCTTGATCAAGTAAAAGAATTCAAGGATAGTCTAAGGGTTTTCTAGGGCCCATAAACAAATGGGACCCAAATTCTTTTTGGGTTGAGGGGCAAAGGTCTTGGCTTGGGCCCTCACCCCATCAGAATGGCTATAATAATTCAGAGCTCCATTAGCAGTGCATTAATGCTCTCTTCCCTCACTCCCCTCCTCCCCAGGATTTCCAGCATGTCATTTTCCATTTTTTTAAAAATCAATTTTGCCAATGTGATGGATGTGAGGTAGAACCTTAGAGTTGCTTTAATTTGAATTTTTCTAATTTATTAAGTTATCTGGAAAAAATATTTTATATGGTTACTGGATTTTTTTCCTCTGAGGAAGAAGGCCATTCATCACTTGGGGAGTGGTTCTTAGTCTTAATCAGTTATATTGGGAATAGGACTTTTATCAGGGAATTTGCTGCAAAGATTCCCCCCATCCTCTATGTACCTACTTCCTTTCTTTTAGTAGCATTGGTTTTGTTTGTGCAAAAACTTTTAAGTTAAAACTTTTACATTAAAAGACTTTTAAAGTTTTAGATGATTAATCTGCTTCTGTTGCCCTCTCTTCTTTCTGCCTTGCACACAGCCCAATCACAGGTTCTTACCCTTTCCCCCCCTTTCCATTTAAGCCCCTCTTCACAATCTACTTTGGAGTTTGTTTTGTGTATTACTAATGCCTTGCTTGGTTGAGGTGGGAGTGCATTCCTGGCAAGGGGAACACAAGGAGGCATGTTGAATTCAGGGAACACTTAGAAGTCCAGTTTGGCTAGAACTGAATTTGTGAAAATTAATATGAAAGGATGAAAAAGTTTGTGGGAACCAGATTGCGGAGGACTTAAAGGGCAGGCTAAATTTGTATAGGCAACTGGGAGGCACTGGAGGTTTCTTAACAGGAAAGTGACATCTGATCTATAATTTAGAAAGATTATTTTGGCTTTGCATGGAGGATGGATTAGAATGGGAGAGACTGGAAGCAGGTAAATAATAGCTAACATTAATATAGCAATTATTAAGATTTGTAAAGCACTTTTAATACATTATCTGACTTGATCTTCACAACAATCCTGTGAAGTAGATGCTATTATCCTCATTTTACAGATTAGGAGACTGAGTCTGAAAGAAGTTAAGTGATGATCACAAAGCTAGAAATTTGAAAATTTGAACTCAAACAAAAGGGGAGTTTAAAGAGAGTATATAGTACTCTAATAGCTATGCCATCTAACTGCCTCAAATGAGGCAATTACAATAATCTAGGAGAGAAGTGATAACAATCTGAATTAGGGGGTGGTTATAGGAGTTGAGAGAGGTGGGTGGATAAGCTACATGAAAGCAGGGGCTATGTTGTTATTCCCCATTTTATCTCCAGCACCTAGCCCAGTGCCTTCTAACATCGAACTAAACCCAGTAGGTACGTTCAATTGACAAGTAAACCACTCTGACCAAAACCAAGGATTCTTGTATAGGACAACTATGGAGAAAAAGTTGGAATGGAAAATTGGAGATAGATGTCATAAAGAAATCTGAATGCCAAGCTAAGGAGTTTGGACTTTATATAACCTGTAAGCAACAGAGAAGCACTAAAGGTTTCTAAGTAGGAAAGAAAGAGTTTTAAAGTAATATGAGCCAAATGTTGGAAAAAATCTTTGTATTAAATATTTCAGATAGTGGTTTAGTATCCAAAATATACAGACAATCAAAAGAAATATATAAGACCCATAAGTCAATCTCCAATGGTTAAGGGGGCAAAGAATGTGAACAAACTGTTCTCAAAAGAATTGAAAACAAAAACCACATGAGAAAAATGCTGTAAATAAAATGAGAGAATAATAATGAGATAATAATAATAAAGATGAAAGGCAAATCAAAACAACCCCAAGGTTTCACCTTAAACAAAGCAAATTGGCAAAGATGACAAAAGACACAGTCACATCAATAAACATTTAAAACTTAACTTTTAAAAGCACTTACATAGTGTTTGAAAGTTTGCAAAAAAGCTTTACAAATATTATTGAATTTTATCTTCACACCAACCCTGGAAGGTAAGTGCTATTATTATCCTGATTTTACAGATGAGAAAACTGAGGCAGACAGTACCTTGGGTTACACAGTGTCTGATATAGGATTTGAATTTTTAAGCACTTATATTCTGTGCGAAGCAATATGCTGAGTTCTGGGGATTAAAAAGCAGTCTCTGCCCTCAAGGAGCTCACATTCTAACGAGAGACAGCATGCAAAAACTGTATACACAAGACATATACTGTGTAAACAGAAAGTAATTTCAGTAGGAAGATTGTAGAAATATAGGTACACTAATACATTTCTGGTAGAACTGAATCAACACAACCATTGTGGAAATCAATTTGGAATTACACAAATAAAGGTGCTAAAATGTCTATAACCCTTAGACCCAGAGACTCCACTACCAGGCATATATTCCAAGGATTTCTCTGATAAAAAGGAAAATTACATATACACAAAATATTTATAGTGGCACTTTTTGTATTAGCAAAGAATTGGAAACAAAGTAAATGTCTATAGACTTGGGAATGGCTGAACAAATTGTGGTTCATGAATGTAATGGAACTATGTTGTAAGAAACAAGGAACATGACTATAGAGGAGCATGGACAGACTTATATGACCTGATGGGTACTGAAACAGAGCCAAAAAACCAATATAAAGAAAAATTACCATAAACCAAAGAGAATGTTGCAAAATTACAAGGAACAAGCATATGTCCAAAGAGACATGAGAAGACACCCCAATCCCACTCCTTTCCAGAGGTGAGAGGTCTTCAGACTTTTTTGATCAGTTTTGCTGATTTTTTTGTCTCTTCTTCCTCTCAAAAATATTAAATAAATATTAAATATTAAAAAATTGTCATATGGGCTGACTCTGTGGCAGGGTGGAAGGGAAGAGATACTGGGAAAAATTTTGGTGATGTAAAAACTACACACACACACACACACACATATGTATTACTCAAATTTTATTTTTTAAAAAACAATGAGGTGAAAGTCTATGTAGAACCAGCCAGCAGATATGGAGATACAAAACCAGAGCTAAGAGGGATAAATAGATGTGAGATGAATTCTTATAAAAATAGAGAAGAGCAATCAACTAAAAGGGCAATTAAAATTTTGTTTTTTTCTCTAGATCTTAAGATTTGTCTTTCTAAAACTTCATAACAAAACCAAAGCCCCAGTGATTTTTTTATGGTGACCTGCAAACTAATATTCCTCTATAAGTACTGCAGATGGAAAAACAGATGGCAAAGGATTTGTACCATTGTCTTAGAATGAACAATTCCCTTATTGCTTCTCACACCATAGCTCTTACTCTATAAGAAAATTATTTCTGGCCACATTATTTTGTTTCAGACAAATAATTTAAGGGCTTTAATTCTTCATTTACTTGTTCTAATTGGAATTAAGGGTTCAAAACTCAGTGTTAAATAGGATCTCTGTACTTTAAATAGAATTCAGTCTGACTGGGGATGACCTTGAAGTTGTTCTTAACTTTCTTAACGTTTTTATAAGTGTGTCTATGATTTAGGAAATGTCCTTTTCATTGATGTTGCTTTGGGAAAAATCCTTGAAATGTCTAAAGGGAAAAGTAATATAATGAAAGAATTTTTGAGCAGGAGGGGACCTTAAAGCAGTCTTAGGAGCAGTCTAACCTGCTCATTTTACATGTAAGGAAACTAAGGCCCAGAGAGGAAAAGTCATTGAAGGTTACAGAATTAGTTCATGGCAAAGATGAAACCAGGACTCTGGTCACCTAATTTCTAGTCCAGTACTGCTTTTTTTTTTGTTTGTTTTTAATACTTTGTGGTCTTACTCGTAATGCTTAGTCCAGTGCATTGCATTCAGAGTAACTGCTTAAGTTTTTTTGACTGTGCAGGAAGAAGGTGAAAGAAGAGAACCAATGACTTGGATGCTTAAAAAAATGCAGCTTTATTTTCACTAAACTTTGTTTTCCTTTGTTATCCTATGTATTTTATTCTATGCAATTAAAAGCATTACTCAGAAGAGGTCCATCACACACCCTCCCCCCCCACACGATTCAGAACCCTTGACCTTGGAGTAATCATTGGATCATCTGCTACTGTACAATCTATCATTAAATGTACTCAAATCTTGACTAATATCAAACATCTGGCATTTAATTAGACATGACTTACAGTCAAAATCAAAGAAAAGGGAGGCAGTGTGGTACAGTGAGCAGAGTACACACTTGGAGTGAGAAGCTATGGATCTGGATTCGGTCGCTTTCTGCGTGGCCTTGGCCAGGTCACTCCATGGGCCTCAGTTTCATCACTGGTAAAGTGCAGTGAGTGGTTTTGGACTACATGGTCTCTCGAGCCCCTTCCAGATCCAGATGCTTTCCTTGAACTCCATGGGCTTTCCAGCTCTAAATCCATGATCCTCTGATTCTAAGATAGAGTTCCAATACAAAGTCAATATTTAAAGATGGTGGGAAAAATCTGAGCCTATGACAAAGATAAATCAAGACTTCTATAGCCTAAAATTAATCTTTAACTGTAGTATGACAACAGGGTAGAAAAAAGTTGTTAGTAAATGTTTAGATTTGCCCATTATGTATACTTTGTCAAGAAAACTTTTAAACTCAAGATAATAGATTTAGAAAGTTGTTTAGTATAAAGGAGATGGGGTTATTGAAAATTACTTTTTTCAGGTGGTCTTGACACACCCAGTCAAACAACATCCAGAAAGCAAAGACAATAGAAATTTAACTAATGTTCCCCAGGCATCAGACTTACAAAACCAATTCAAATAGTAATCAACTTTGCTCATAAAAGTACCTTATTATTGTTCCTCATATTGCAGATAAAGCAATAGATCCTAATATAGACACAGGTAGATAAGGGGAATAGCATATTGGGACTACCAAAGAGTTGGAACAAGACTTTCCGGCAGTGTAAAAGTTGGCTATGAAATCAGTTTTGGTGGAATAAGAACAGAAAGGAAAACGTTGTAACATTTTATATTAAAAAAAAAAAAAGAGGGCAGGACATTGAATAAATATTTGTGGAAACATCAGGATTATAAGTATGCTCTTGATATCTGCTAGTCACTTTAACCCCAGCTTAGCATCGTTTCTCTCAACATTTCTATAGAACTGTTTTAAAATCCAATTTTACCTTTTATCTGAAATTAAAGGCTTAATTTATTGTATAAGTTTAAGGCTATGCAAAAATGTACCTGTAAAAGGTTATTTAAATATTTATCTATCTATGTATCTATGTATCTATCTATCTAGAGATGGATAGAGATATAGCTTTCAGGGGCAGGAGAATGAAATCACAAAATTCTTATCTTAATCCACTGGGCTTTCTTAAATTGCATCAAGTAAACAGTCCAATTGCATTTTTGGGAAAAACAATTATGGGGGAAAATTTAGCATTTCATATCCTTAGCAGTAACAGAAAAAAAAATGGTTATAACTCTGGTTAGTACATACTAAATTCCTATTAGAAATAAGAATTTCACAGAAGCACAGAATTGGGAGCTCAGAGGCCATCTAATCTAATTTATACCTGAAAAGGATTCCCTTCTACATCATATTCAACAAGTGGTCATGCAGCCTCTGCCTGAAGACCTCTAGGGAGGGGGAATCCACCACTTCAGCCTAAGATAGCCTACTCCACTTTGAGACAGTTTTAATTGGCAGAAGTTTTCCCTTAAATTGAACCAAAATCCATCATTCTGTGAGTTCCAGCAACCCCTAGTTCTGTCCTCTGGGGTCAAGAACAAGAATTCATGATGTACTGAAAATCTGTAAAACATTTTTATTGATCTACTTAAAATATCAATCCACAATTGAACTGAAATGAAGAACACTACCAAAGTAGCAAAAACTAGGATCCTTAACGGAGGCAAGGGGATTTCAATTACATTTCTCTTGGGAAAGTCTATAGAGGAGGCTGGGGAAGGCTCAGGAGTGGTGTCAACTGGGAGGGTCAAGTTTGTTATACAAAATAATCAGAAGTGTGTGTGTATGTATGGGTTCTTTCTTCATTTGATTTTGATAGTCTTCCTTTTAACTAGTTTTGACTGTCCCCAAGTAATTCATAGCTCTGGGATTGGGCTAGGTCAGTTCTTAGTTGCATTCAACATTTCATCCAGTTGGTCAAGACCAATTTCTTAGCTAAGGGAGGCATTGAGGAGTCTGACGAGCTGCTGGACCATTTTTATTTTAATGTGATGAGCTTTCTTAAATTGCATCAAGTGAACAGGTCAATGAAAATATTTACTTCGCATTTTACACTCTTAGCAGTAACAGAAAAATGGTTATAACTCTGGTTTAGTACATATTGTATTGCTATTAGAAATAAAAATTATACAGAATCACAGATTTGGGAGCCCAGAGGCCATATAGTCTAATTTGTACTTGAAAATGGGTCTCTCCTACATGATATTCAACAAGTGGTCATGCAGCCTTTGCCGGAGACAGAGAGGGGGGAATTCACTACCTCAGCCTAAAATAGCCAACTCCATTTTGAGACAGTTTTAATTGGCAGAAATTTTATCTTAAATTGAGCCAAAACCCATCATTCTATGATTTCCATCCACTGCCCCTAGTTCTGTCCTCTGGGGTCAAGAGGAGCAAGAATTTCATGACATTGTGCTGAACATCTGCAAAACATTCTTTATTGATCTACTTAAAATATCAGTACACAACAAAAAATATTATTTAGTATAAGGCACATGGCGTTATTCAAAATGACCCTATTTTTCCAGGTGGTTCTGGTATATTCAAACAGTACCTAGAGGGTGAAAGACAATATAAATTCAACTAATTACACCAGTCTAATAAAAACAATTCAAATTGTAATTAATTTTGCCCATAAAAGGTCCTCACTTTTGTTCTGTATAGAAGATGACACAGTAGAATATCATACCTAGAACTCTGAATATCAAAAAAGCAGGTGAACCATTAAATATTTAGTTGAGCCTTTACATCTGAGAGAAAGAGTCTTCCACTGACTTGATCAGAACTATGAAGACCTGCTTTGCTTTCATTCAGACTACAGATGGATACTTCTGAAAGTGATTTTTAATGGCATACAAGTCAGTCAAGCTAAAAGATGTACATGAGGATCCAATCTGAAAAGGGTAGACAGGGATTTAGGCTTACCATATTGTATTAGGATGAATTTTTCTTCTATGTATGATAAAAGAGAACCTTTAAGACAACAATTCCACCTCTAGGATGGTGGTGGTTTTTAAACACATTCATTTTAAAATGGCTATGAAAGGCAAGCCACAATCTTCAATGTTGCAGCTAATTTCAAACATTCCTTTTAAAAGATTCCAAGTACAAAGACTTCCTAGAGGTATGAACATCTCAAATCTGCTCTATATATAGGAAGTTAGTAACAGGTTCAATTTGAGACATCAAAAACATTTTAAATAGACACCACAAGATGCATCTGTAGTTTAAAGGTCAAATTTATTAGGAGATTAAGAGATGTATTATACATGGACTATAAATACTGCACAGCTGACTTTATTCACAGACACAGAGATATAGTCAGTGCCGACCTATTTGGTGGACACTCTTGTTCTTTTGTTCCAAGAAAAGTTTGCGCCGTAAGACTTGGATTTAGGTTTGGGGACCTTTCTCTCTTGAACGTGATAACTCCAGCCTGGAAAAAAGCATACCAATAGTGTTAAAGAATACAACTAATATACAATAAAAACAGAATTCATGACTTAAGAAAAAACCTTAAGGTTCATTTATTATCATGAAGAAATGTCAATACATCTAATACAAATACATATTTAGTAGTCTGGTTCTTTGTAAGGTCAGTAGAGTATAATCTTTAAGAACGAAGGACAAACAACGAACGGGAGTATAAATCCTATTTCTTATAAAGATCCAAAGCCAGACTAAAGCTGGCTTGTCCTGTCTCAGATTCTAAGGTATAGCCAATGGGTTAATTTCAAATTCAAAGTTTTCTATTGTTCTGACTGATGATTACACATTAGGCAAATATTTCCAAGCCTCTGTCGTTTGACATATGAATTCTAAAGTAATTTTGTTGTGGCAAATACTCAATATTGATTTTTTTTTTGGCCTTTTTGGTGAGCCAATCGAGGTTAAGTGACTTGCCCAGGGTCACACAGCTAGTAGGTGTCAAGTGTCTGAGACCAGATTTGAACTCAGGTCCTTCTGACTCTAAGGCTGGAGCTCTATTCACTGTGTCACTTAGCTGCCCCTAATATTCAACATTGATGCCAGAGCCCATGTACTAAGAACTGAAATCTTTAATGTCTGGAGCAGGAAAATGAAGAGAAAGGTGGATATTTATACCCATATGCAAATTGATAGAGCGGGAAAGGAGACCATCTGGAATCTAACAGGTACATGTCAAAAATATTCAGGATCTTGTGGGACACATTCTCTAATTTCTTTTTTTTTTTAATTTTTAAAATTTATTTTTTTTTTAGGCAATTGGGGTTAAGGGACTTGCCCAGGGTCACACAGCTAGTAAGTATCATGTGTTTGGTCTCAGGCTGAATTTGAACTCAGGTCCTCCTGACTTCAGGGCCGGTGCTCTATCCACTGTGCCACTTAGTTGCCCCTCTAAATTCTTTTAAAAATCCAATCCAATGTTGTATCTTTCTAAATGTCACAATGTTCTTTTTAATGTCTAATCAAAATCTTGCCTGTGTTCACTTAAGTCTAATTCTTCTTGAGCCCTCCTTGGAGATGTAGGCAACTGCCAATGAATCTGAATAAAAAACATTTCAAAGGAGACATAATTAACCTCTTCTTGGGCTAAGCAACCTTGGTCTTTTTACTCTTTTCTCATAGGAACTATTTTCTATCCATTTAAATTTTCTTCACTATTCTTGATTTGCCTATTTTGCAAAAATAAACACATATTTCAAAGTAGAAAGTACAAATTATTCTACATTTGCTATTTAACAGCTGAGAAAAGTAATCAGGTACAAAGATTAAAGTTATTATATAGTCTCATAATTTTAAAGTTGGGAAGGACTTTTTGTGTGTGTAATGTATAAAATTGTATGTATAAAATTCAAAATATGTGTGAATGTATATGCACAAGATACATATTTTAAATACACAAATATACATACCCATAACTGGACCAGAACCTCCACTATACTATACTATATCAAACAAATGAATCATCCTGTATCTACTTGAAGACCTTTAATAAGGGGGAACTTACTACTTCCCAGGGCAGCCAATTCTACTTTGGGATAACTCTAATAGGAAGTTTTTACTGATATCAAGCCTAAACTTGCAACTTCTCAACTCCCCTTTCCTCTCCTTCCCCACCCCCCCAGTTTTGCTCTCCGGGTACAAACAGAACAACTCAAATTCCTTAGACTCCTCACCTCTACTTTATTCTCTTCTTCAAGTTAAACATCCCAAGTT